TTTCCATCCGATTTGGCCGATTGTCACTGTTAATGTCTCCGCAGTGGCCGCTTTTTTGCGCAATTAACGCGGGTAATCCCGTGGCACGGCTCGGTTTAAGTGCATTTATTTACTTAAGCCGTGTAAACAATTGATCAATGCGCTGCCGTTGCATTTTGTGAGTGAGTGAATAAACACGCTGACGGCCGCCGCCTGAAATATTCAATTAAAAGTTGTTAAACGAAACAATTACAGAGCGAAAAACAAAAGCGCATGTTCACGTCTCCGCATATTGAGTGCAAATGGAACAATGTCAACAGTGGTGGGGCTCTTCCACCCAAAGGACCTCCCGCGGAAGTCCTGGCACCACAAACCACACGGGAATGGATCCGCAGCACAGTAAACCACATGAAGTTTTTCGCGCAGCCCTTCTTTTTAATCACACGAACACCTTATACATTGTTTTTAAAACTGCAAGCTGAAGATACATTAAACAATTACTGGGAATTCCACAAAATGTCGAATGGCATGCCATAAATCTTTTCAGTCTTTTTATGTTACATTTTGAATTGAATTATTTCTTAATGACTAATTTTAAGTCACTTAGGGCCTATTTTTCTCCACTGTTCCATTTTTTACGGAGGTGCGATGCACTTAATTGTGCCGTAAAGTGAGTTATTTCTGAAAAATGATGAACATTTGCTGCCTCTGATTCGGTTTTTGCTTTTACTGCAGTAACTTCGCTCCTGTTGTGCTGCTGCGGTCTGCTGGGCAGCTCGTAAGTTGGCTTTAATTCGATGGCCTGCTATAGAAAATGAAAAATGCAAAAATTAATTAACTCCCTGGGGAGGGCATTCAAACGGAAAATGCATAAAATCAACCATAAAGTTCGGGCAGCCCAAGTGACACCGCTTAGAGCCTTAAAGTGGCTTCAACTGGTGCATAAATGCAAGGCAATATTTTGGAGGCTGGCCGTTCTCTCGAGCTTTTCATGGCTTTTGCCATGGCTTTTGCCATGGCTTCATTAGCTATTCCACAGTTGGCTGTATATCAGGCGAAAGATTCATCTTAATATCCGCCGACTTTTCGGGGCTCCAGGCTGCAGGATGCACCCGTCGTGGCCATAATGTTTGCGCTGCCTCCTCAGCTTTTTTGGGTCGCAAACTTATGCCGCACATTATGAGACTGCCGTTGAGCGTCGTCGCCTGCACATAAATTAATGAAAATTTATTTATGCCCCGAAAAGTGTGGAGCAAACAATGGCGCCAGCACAAAGTCCCCAAAGGAGTCGGGGCAAATGCTTTTCAGTTTCCAGTGCATTAAGCAATGAAGGCGACGCCACCAAAGGTTGCATATATCACTCCAGAAAAATGTGTGCGCCACTTCTATGAGCAACTGTCATGCAACGTGGCGAATGCGGGCAGGAATTCCAACTAAAAAATCAATTTGTTAAGCTTCAAATGGGTATTTTTCGCTGGAAGGGACAAGGCAGGTCCATCCCTCCTCGCTTAGATAATATGCTTTTGTGTCGGGTGGAAATATTTGCCAGGATAACAAGCAAGGTGTTCCGTGTCGGATCCCTCCTTGCAGCTGAACAAAATGACTTTTCGTGCTGCTTGCCAAATGGTCAACATTACATTTCCTATCTCTTCTCGCCCTCCGCTCGCCGCCGCTCTTCTTCTTTTTGCATGCAGTTTCCGTTTCCGTTTGACTTAGTTGGGTGCCCATCCTGTCCATCCTGTGCAACCCACCCGCTTTGCATGTTGTCACGCTGTTCGTGTCCTGCACTCGAAATGCACTTATCATGCAGAAGAATGGCTGGGGAGTTTGCTCACTTTGCTGGCGCAGTTTGTACATGTTTTGTCGAAAATGTCAACAAAATCCAGGCATTAATACCATATTTAGACGGAAGCCCATAAGCCCTTCGTTCGCATTCTGTTTTCCTTTTTATGTCCCTGCTGCCACATCATCAATTACACATTTTACAACTGCTCTGTGTGCTCTGTGTACTCCGTGTCTTTGACGACCCATTCCCATGGGGGGTCACTGGCAGAAGAGACATAAATCAAACATTTCCCACGTTGCGAAACAATTTCCGACTCAAGACTCCCACTTTTCGTGTCTATCTTCTGGCTGGATTTTATTTATGGCATCCGCCAAAACACAAACTGAAACACAGACAGACATTTGATAAATGTATAGACAATATGACTTCAGTTAGAAAATTCACAATTGCTTTTAACTTGATACATTCTGGCAATTGTTGTTGCTGCTGCTGCCAGTTTGGCGCATTGTATTGCATTTTGATTTGTGGTTTATAAGCCTTTGTTTGGCCCATAAATTTGACTTATTTCGCATGCCATTCTTCGTGCTGGTTTTGTTTGCCAATTGAATGAAAACTTTAATACGAGCTGCACAATTGCATTCATGACGTATGCGTATTATTCTAAAACAGCATTCGTCTCAACTCCTATTGAGCGTACTCAGATTTCGTTTGATGAATTTCATTACCAGTTTTGCTGCAGTTCGATTGCCTTTGCTTCGTCCAATTATGGAATTTGCGATAGAAATAAACCCGTGCGACTTCAAAATCAATACCAATATACATATACTAAAGAGGTATTATAATATTTACTGTCTAAGCAATAGTGTGTGCTGTCACTCAAAACTATTGAATTATTCATGCTCCATTAAGGGCTGAAATCAATATTTAACATTAAATCATGCTGAATTATCTAGTCTTATTTACGTGTTTCATTTTCATGCAACTTATTTTGTCTGTGCTGTCCAACTTTCGCCCCTCTATTTTAACACAAGTTCGTGCCACCGTTTCGCGAACTTTCAGCTTTTTTCATTTTGGCAGCCAGAAACCGTGAAAAGCAACTGGCAGAGACAGAAAGTGGAACAAAAATTTCATTTGCTCCGCAACATTTCATTTAATTCATTTCTTGATTATTTTCATTATTGGTCACATTTTACGATTGTTGTTTTGCCCGCAAAAGAGGGCCTTTTCAAAGGACCTCTTGGCATTTGCGGCATGCAGCTTAATTTAATATGCCCATCGCTCAGTCCTCACTTTATTTTCCCGTCTTCCGCCCGTTGATGTTTTCTTTATGGCGGCATGGCGGCATTTTATGTATTTATTTTCGGGGGATTGAAAGGGTTTTGGCCTCGCACGTAACTTCGCCAGATGTCCAATCTTGAGTGCCTAAATTATTTATTAGCCATCTTTTGCGACAGCTTACGACCTTATGAAATATTATATTCTTTGTGCCCAGCCAGCAATAACAAATGAAACATATGGCCCGGCAGGCAGCCAGTTCAGTGGGTCAGCTCATAAATTATGTGTTGGCTTGTGTGACCCACAGGTCAGGCATAAATCCAATCAAATTGACAGCAAGTCACGGCAGACAGGATCTACATACTCATTAGGCACTCTGAAATGCGCCTAGCCAGGGAAAATGTATTCAATTTGCACGTTTTCGTTGAAATATGTATGTCTAAAACACAAAACCACATATTTTTGTTGGTAAAAGTTCATTAAATATGTGTATATTAATTAAAATAAGTGTTTGCCGTAAAAAAAACTAATGAAACTAGGGCGAAATCGCCTGCGAAAACGTAGCTCCTTGCCTCAGAATGACTCAGTGCTATTGGAAAGTGCACACTTTCATTTAAATAACCATGAGCTCTTTGACATTAATTCCAGCAGCTCTTAAATTATTCATTTTCATTATTGTTTGCCATTTGCCCAATTAAATTGGCCACAAGCAGACTTTATGTTTATTCATAAATTATACATTGGATTTCACAATATTAAATGAAAACCACTTGACTGAGTCGAAAGTCGAAAGTCTAAATTGTGTACGGCTGATTGGCTTGAATAGAGCTCAATGATCATCGGTAAAATTTGTCAAAACAATTGTGGAAACACGGTGTGGAAAATAAAATACATTTATTTTCACGTTTTTCAACTGTAAGCTACACATTTTCCCCATTCGTTAATCAAAACACATAGGCTGGCTGGTTGGCTGGTTGGCAGAACGGGCTTTTGGTCTTGAAAATGCAGTCTGGCGGCAAATTGGTAGTTTATATCGTATGAAATTTATTTGGCCCATAAAATGCAATCTCAATGCCAGCCGAAGGGAATTTCTATCCTCCTGTTTGTGTTTTTGGGGCTACAAATTTGCCATATCTTAATGGAGAACAAAGACACATAGACCAGCTCACGGCTGTGTGGACTTGACTAAGGGAAGCCGAGCAAATATTTATTTGGACTTTCGTGCCAGTGGGCGGAATATTACTTATCCTTGCTGCACAGGACCCTCCATTTGCACCTGGACACAGGCTGGGTAAATGCAGCTGAGGCTGCAGCACCTAATGTATATTTTAATTGAATTGTTTCTGGGCGAACTTAGCCACGGCCCAGTGGAGACTACAAGTTGTAAATTAGCAGCTAATTGTATATGCAAATTAAATTGCGGAGCTACTGCAATGCACATGGCATTTAAATAATAATTTAGCCACATTTATTATTTATTTAGATTTGCTATTTCGAGAACATGGTAACAGAGTGGATTTAATTGCAATCATACAATTTTTATTAAGACTTACTAATATCACTTCCAATATGTAAAATATGTAGCAAAGTCATAGGTGCAGCAGAATGTGCTTGAAACCCTAGGTAAATCTTGGCCAAGTTAATTTGCCAATTAAATAGACACACAGTTGGGAAAATTAGCAAAGCGTCATAAGCTGGCCCAAACAAGGAAGTTGGCTAACAATGGCCAATGCGCAAACACAAACATATTGGCCAAGTTGGAGGCGCAAACAGGCCCACAGTTAATAGATTTATGCAATTGAAGTTCCCTGACAGCGATAAACTCCACAAAGTGGCATAAAGCTCGGGTAATTTCCGCCGCCTGATGGATGGAGGACTCGCTGTGCGGAAGGACCTCGAAACGTCCATCAAAAAGTGCGGCCACGCCAGACCAGAACTGATAAGATATGAAAAGCAATTTACGTTAGCTGTCAGCGACAAATGCGCCCTCGTTTCGTTTTATTTGCACATTTCATTTAACCACGATTACGCGTATTGACACTTGAAAGCCGTCGCTAATTAATGCGCCTGATTATGTGGTCGAAGAATATGACGTATCCATAAATGGGCGAGAAATACGTTTTGCTGCTAACGTTTTTCGAGTGCACGCAGTCGCAGGAGGCGTTCACGCAGAATATTTTGTGGTCCCCCATGTGTTTCAGCAGCAGACTGTGGACCCTCTGGTTCATCACCCGGAAGTTGTCGCTGTTGTTGAAGGACACCCGATTCTGGTGCCAGTCGAAGTAGCTGAGATGCAGCTTCGATGGCCTCAGCTTCGTCCTGCCCTCGAAAATGCCCCGCCAGTCCACGTAGCTCAGCGAATTCTCGCATCGCGACTCCCGCAGACTCTGCTCCAGGTCCAGGAAGCTGGACACCTCCAGACCCTTCTTCGAGCGCATGATCAGGTAGACGACGGTCTATCAAGTACACCAAGTTACCCTTTTCCCTGCATACTTATATACGTGATAGTTTCCCTACCGAAATTTGTTTCTCGAGCAGCTTCTTCTCCCGAATGGCAAACTGCTGGAGCACCTCGTCTTCGTTGTTCAAATAGTCGCCGAAAAGTTGGAGTCCTCGTAAGCCCCTTGGCTTCAGAAGGACCAACTCCTTCTCCTTGCGCTGCTGGAACTGCTCGCGGGTGAGCAGATTGCCCAGGCAATTCTTTCCGCAGGCATTCTGGATCAGGTTCCTCTGGATCTCCTTGTTGCCCAGGTAGCGAGTGTCCTGGATGGTTATGAAGCTGTCCACGTAGTCCTGATAGTGGTTAAAGTTAATCAGACTCATTGCACGAAACTAATAATCAAAAACTAATTATCCTAAAGTAAATGAAACCAAAAGCTGCTGAAAGGAAAGAAAACTGTGCTGTCGTGTAAATCAAAATGTATAATATTTTGAACAAGTTTGAGCAAAATACATTACTGACAACAAACTGCCAACTTTGGTTCAAAAGGCGAAACTTTTGCTGGGCCTCAAGAAGCAGAGTTCTTCTCACATTCAATTTCGTAGGGAAATCGCTGACTCTACATAAATGAAAAGGAATTGCAGAAAATATTCCTCCCAATTTTCAAAACCGGCGGAGAAGCCTTATCTTAATTGAAATTTGTTTGAGCAACTGATAACCGGAATGGGCTGGAACAATTTGTAACAGCTTTAGCTTCATGTGCGCACAAATAATTAAACATTGTCCACATAGAGTTCCCTTGCTGGAATCCGCAGCGCTGTTCGTGTGGCAAATTTAATAAATGGAAAAAGTTTCACAATGCCCAAGCCCCGACTTTGCCCAGAATTGTGAGTATTTTCAATTACACTTTCCTAGGCGCCACGCCCCGCCGCCCGTCAGGGGCATTTCGCATATTAAACTAATTACTTCATCAACATTTTAAACTGCCAGCCAGCCAAAGGGAAATTTGCATTTTCAGCCTGTGCGTATGCAGCGCTCTTTGTCCTTTTCCGCCTGATATCCTGTTGAGCGCACTCTGTCGTGGATTAGCAGTCTAACAAGTGACACCTAGTGTTCCGTACTACGCCCTATGAATCCTGAGGACTATGACATCGGATGGGATATGCACATAAACGGATGCGCGTTGATGAACTGGCAACAAATGGTTTGAGATTAACTGGAACATGTGCCTTAAAGTATGAAACCGTTTTGTATTAGTCGCAAGGCATTTCAAATAAATAAATTTCCAAGTTCCTTTGCTCTTTTCCCATTCAAGAATAATCAGCAGGTAAACCAATTAGCCCAATGCCTGCAACCGCTAATCAGGCTTAATTTATATATCAAATAGGGTGTGTAAGATGTCCTGCACTTCCTGGCAGATTTCCAACTCGCTTTTCAATTTCCACACACAATACGCAGCCAGATTTTCCCCTTGGCTGTGTGTGGAGGTGTGTGTCTGTGTGAATTTACGCTATTTAGACACGCTTTCCCACTGTTTGCAGTTGTTGCTGTCGTCGCTGCAGCAATTAACATGCAGCCGCTGCCGACACTTGGAGCTCAGTGCTCCGCCCGCCACTTGCCCTCTCAGAATTTTCCTGTGCATTTTCCCAAGCCTGCTGACAATTTCCCCTCCCCATCCCTGTGAGGCAACAACTGCTGTTCCGTTTTGCGTGCTTTGTCACCATCTAGCCGCTTGCCGCCGTCTTGAGCGCGTAAATTGCTACTTCGTGGGCCAATCCTTCTGCTCCCCGCCGAAGTCACGACATACCCACTTCCCAGCAGTCTACTGCCAGGACCTACAGGACTGCCAGGACTCCCATTCCGCCCGCTGCGTCTTGGCCGTGGCCATTGTTTGACTTGGTCATTAGTAAATGTACTTTGTCGCAGCATAAAAAGGAGTTAAGTGCGCACTCTAAGGATTTATGTGCATTACCAAAGAATGAGGCAGCAATGCTCAATGCTGCCGAGGAAAGCCGAGGCCGAGGCTGCCTTTGCCATGTGTTAAGTGCACATTTCAGATGAATGAGTCGGCTTGCGTCAACTGCATTTCAATTGCAGAAAGTGCTGAATGGCCTGAGGGCAGGAGTTTATAGTTGAGCAGTTGCCGTCATATTACCGGGCATGCCAATCATGCACTCGAGAAGTTGCACAAACTCAAGTTATCACAGGACTTCTGAAAACATGAATCCTATTTGTTTAAGCACTCTTTTAATGTGGGTATGACAATAACCCAAGAAATCGTAGAAGAGCATACTGCATGCTTGGGCAAGTAATCCAGGAAGGCCTTTTTATAATTCCTATTTTGAATTCCATTTTGCAGGCCAGAAGTCCCAGATTTTCAGTGATTGCCATTGCCACTCTGGAGTGCAATTTCCTTATTCTAATGACGTTTGGCTGTGGCAGTAGTGCCACATGTCCGGCAAATAAATGGCTTGCAGCCACGAGGCCTTTGAACTGTTGGCAAATGCTAACACAAATTATCAAGTTACCATAAATTGCCCTCGCCCGAGCCGTACAGCTAGCCAATGAAATCAAAGCCACATAAATTGCGCAAATAATTCTGTCTTCTCTCGACATGCTCCTCTTTTCTCCAGGGAAAATGGCGCCCAACGAAATGCAGCCAAGACAAAGGACGGGCCAAAAGAATCATCACTTACAACTGACCACAAAGCTGCACAGCCACATCCATAGCCCCATCCAGGCCCACGTCCACGTCCGCATCCTCATCCTCATCCACATCCACATCCCTTGGGAGCGCTGGTACCGCAATCGATCAAAAGGAATTATGTCTCAACACAATTGTAAATAAATCTTTGCGGCTATGTGGACATCATGTGCATGCCGAGGTCCTGGCCAAAGGATTTGGCCAGGCCGGCAAAAGGGAGCTGGGCTATGGGACAGCCCCAAATCCTGCATATCATAGACACTGGGTATATGAAGATTGAGTGGTAATGTGTGCAAATCTAAAGCTTTCCTCCCCAGGATACCCCGAATTTCCCAAATGCGGCTGCTTCGATTCCTGTCCATTCGTTGACATGTTGGTAAATTGCTCCTTAGCTGATTGCATCGATTTCGGGGGCTGCGTTTTAGCCAGAAACTGGGGAATTAAGTGTAAATGCCGGAAATTAATCTGCTCAAAGGGAGACACAGCAGCAATAGGCCGAGCTCAAATGCAATATTATTCAAAATGATTTTACAAGTGCCGTTGGCAGTAGGAAATCGCCCCGTTGTCCGGTTCTTTTCAGTGGGCGAGTATTTATAATGCGCATCGATAATGATTTGTAATTTAAAGCTCAAACAAATTTCCGGCAATTTTTGCGTCAGACACGCGCCAAGCATTTTCCTCCGCCTCCGCCAGCTTGTTTACTTTTCATCCGCCAGGGAAAACAACTTGGAGGCTGTGTAAAAAACCGAACTTATCGGCGTAATCATTGAGCCAAGGAAAAAAACATTAATTTGTTTCTTGTAAACTGCCTTGCCGAGGGCTTTGTGCAATCAACACGAACGTGAGCATCTTCAATGGCTCGCATTCGGTTTGTTTGGCCTGGTTTGTTTGGGAAACTCCCCAGCCGGAAATTCGATAGCAGGAAATGTGAAATGGCCGTTAATGGCGTACACAGTGCGTATGCGTAATGGTCCAGGGGTCAGGCAGGGATAACTAGCCTTTTTGTGGGGTATTCGTTAAAGACGCGTATTATATCGCATTAACAGGGAAATGAATCAGCGTTCACTATAAATTAATAATCTTTTTTAAGTTTATTAATTGATTATTTATTCGCTGGACATTTTTAAGCAAACTTCCATTTATTATGACAGTAAAAACGATATCATTTTAAATCAACAATTATATTTGTTTTCGAGAATTTGTCAAAGACTGTTTTACTGCTTTCCGTTTGTTGATTGCCTGTTGATTTATATGCTTAAAGGCAGAACGATATATCATCCTTCTCGCTTAACGATAGTTTCTGTAATTAAATGAAATTGTTATTACCCATGCTGGGTTATATTCACATATTTTTAGCTTTTGAAATTGTTTCCTTTTCTTTAAGGTAAGACTCCATTATTTTGCATTATCCAACTTTCCGACAAACAGGCCTGTTGGTGATTACCAGTAATAGCAGCACATGTTGATGGAACATTAGAGCGCATAACTGGGGGCGGCTGGAGGAAGTGGGAGTGGCACTTCAACCAACATCTGCTGCCGCTTCCTCAGTCGCTTGTCATGTCTATTGTTAGTCGCCCGATGCTGCCTGTTCCTCGTCATGTCGCCCATTAAAATCGTGTACACCATATGCCAGCCATATTAATTTTTTGCCATCCGGAAGTCGCAAGTGTAGGTGCCACGCCCACCGCCCACCGCCCAACGCCCGCCGCCCCAATTGGTAGGCAGTTGCTGGCGATTACGTGGCGCTGTTGCCGGCGACACGTGAGGCGTGGATGGGCTTACGTGGTTATGGTTATCGTGCTTACGTAATTTCCTTTCATAATGGACATTGTTGTCGCACTGCCAATTAAATCGAATTGCTTGCTGCCCCAAAAGGATTACTGGCAATTGAGTCTTCAGTAATCTGCTTAAAATGTATTTACTTCGTATTGGCATCCAGCCATTAATAGGTATTTGTCGAGCGGCTTGAACGTTGAGTGCGTCACATGAAAAGATCAGAGATCATCTGCGCATTATATTACGGCTTTACTTTTAGCTGCCTTGAAGGCTTCCAGCAACTTAAATGAATCATCTGTACTACATGAGCAGATAGCTTGCGTTGTAAGAAGTTTTATTTTTGAAAAAATAATTTACAAGTTCTTCAGAAGCATATCCCGACCACATCATTAAAATCTGCTCTGGCACAAAGAAAGTTATCTGCCCGCAAGTTTGCTGCTTCCTAACGCTTTCGTAATGACCGACCAACATCAGAGTCCTCGGTGGGGAGAGCTGGAAAATCCTTGCAGTTAACCGCACACAATTTTGTTATTTTTGCGGCGGGCGAGCGATGTATCCAACTTGATGGGGAAACCCACAGCGGCGAGGGGAATTTTTCCGTTTGCTGTCAGTGGCTCATTTGGCTGCTGAAAAGGCCAGAAGTCTGGACGGACTGGGGACGCAGTGGTAGACAGTCAGGCAGTCAGGCAGACTGGCCAGGACGAGGGAGCGGATCATCCGCATCCTTTGGCCGCAGTTTATTTTCGGGGGAAAACAAAAAGTGAATAAGTTGCTGGCAGTGTTTGCTTGAGACTGCAAAATGGCCTGCAACTATACCCGGCGAAGTGTTGTTATCAAAGCCATGTGGCACGAATGGGGGATCCTTCTAATCCCAGTTTACAAGCTTATTTCCATACATGTATGAATTTCTCTGCGGCATAACTCAATTTGAGTCTGCTCACAGCTAGGATAATCATGTGAGTCACGATCTCTGGAGAATTTCCCCCGTCTCACAAAGACTCAAA